TTGCCCAGGTGTGTGTATTTGACAGTTTATTTTGCTCAGATGGTTGAACCTGTCCGTGTATCTTTCTCAGGTTTGTGTACCTGTCCGTTTATCTTGCTCAGGTGTGTGTACCTTTCAGTTTATCTTGCCCAAGTTTGTGTACCTGTCAGTTTATCTTGCCCAGGTGTTTGTAACTCTCAGTTTATCTTGCCCAGATGTTTGTTCATGTCAGTTGATCTTGACCAGCTGTTTTTGTTTTTGTATTTTTTTGGTTGGTGAGTATTGATGATCTGTGTGGTTTATTGTATTATTTAGTATTATTTGCAATACTTGATGTCCTTGATAACTCAAAGCAGCAAAATTTTTACCAATATAAAGTTTGAATCAGAGACCAGACCATTACTACATATATACTAATATATGTTTTGTTATTTACTCACTACTTAGTGTCAGATGTGTGGGACATAGTGCAGTCACCAAACATCTAAATAATATTATATTAAATAATATGTGTCATGTAAGTACTTTAAATGAAAACAATAATCGTATTCAGCGTGTCTCATTCAAATGCCAAGGACTTAATTCAATTGCAAAACGAAGAGCTGTTTTATATTATCTTAAAGCAAATATTTTTAACTTACAATGTATATTGTCTCCAAGATACACACATTTCTAATAAAGACGAGCAATTTATCAAGAATCAATGGGGAGACGAAGTTTTCCTCAAAACAAAGAGAAATGGCAATTTTAATTAATAATAATTTTGAATATACAATTTTACATAGTTAAAAGGGTCAAAATAGTAACTTCTACGGATTGAATATTAAACTTGAAGATAGCAATGTAACTTTGTTTACATTGTATGGTCCAAATAGTGATTCCCTTGACAAAGTTGGTGAAGTAATTAATGAAACTGATAACCAGACTGTCATTATAACATAATAGTATAATTTAGTAAAAAAACAAACCTCGATATTTTCAATTACTGAAATAATAATAATGCAAATGCCAAGGAAAAAGTTCTAGATATAAAGGAAATTCACAATCTAATTGATCCTTTTAGAGATTTATATCCAGAAAGTAAAAGGGTAACTTGGAGGAAATAAAACCCTATAAAACAGACCAGACTATACTTCTTTTTGGTTTCACAGAGCTTTTATCCACATATACATCCCATAAAGATACAAAATAGTTATAGATCAGATCAATCACTGATCAATAACTTCAGTATTAGGAGGGTTTGGTAGACATTTAACAATTCTCTTTTGTATGATCCAGAATATGTTAATATTGTTTAAATGGTTATGAGTTAACTAAAGGACATTATGATTCTCTTGTATACAACAGAGAAAATATAATTTTGGTAGGTTCTAGTGGTCGTGAGTTCTTGATTAGTCATCAGTTATTTTAAGAAATATTACAGACTAATATAGGAGGAAAACAATATCATTTGCATCCTTTAAAAAGAAAGAACTAATAAATTAGAGCATGTACTTGCTGAAGATATAAACAAATTAGAACAAATATAACAAGCGTGTGAAATTTTAGATCTGATGTATACACAAATGGTTTTGTTTTTAATTTTTGTGGATAGATGTAGGTAAACGTGCTCAAATATCAATAAAATATGGTTATGATTAGGGTGAAATTGCTATCAAACATAAAATCAAAGAAATTATCACTTACATCCCTAAAGACGACGAACCAAAACAATACATGAACAAATGGCGTCGAATAAGTCTTTTAACCATAAGTAATAAGATGTGGTATGAGTGCCAATGAGACAACTATTCATCCGAGTCACAATGTATAAAAAGTAAACAATTATAGGTCAAAGTACGGCCTTCAACACGGAGCCTTGGCTCACACCGAACAGCAAGCTATAAAGGGCCCCAAAAAGACAAGTGTAAAAATATTCAAACAGGAAAACCAACAGTCTAATCTATATAAAAAAACGAGAAACACTTATGAACCATACCAACAAACGACAACTACTGAACAGCAGTCTCCTGACTTAGGACAGGTGCATAAAAATGCAGCGGGTTTAAACGTTTTAAGCACCAACCTTCACCCTAACCTGAAACAGTGGTATAACATTACAACATACAAAGACACAATAAAATATCAATTGAAATGGCTTAACTCGACCAAAAAGACATTGTTTTAAAAAAGCATCAAGTTGCATTGCAGAAAGAATAATATCTGTTTTATCAATAATTGGAATCAATAATGACCAGGCAGGATTCATACCTAGTAGATTCATTGGTGAAAAGTACCAGAATGATATATAATTTACTCCACTACACTAAAAGAAATGATTGATTTTGAAATAGCTTTTGATTTCATCTCCTGGATTTTCCTAAAACAAGTTCTTGATTATTTCTACTGTGGACATTCTATTAAACACTCAAAACAAATACCAAATCAGCGGTAAAAAAGAATGATTATCTTTCAGATGTTTTTACAGTTCAAAGAGGTTGCAGACAAGAACATCCTTTATCTCCCTACATGTTGTATATTTTTGGGATACTATTTAGAAAAAAAACAAAAATATTAACAGTATTGCAATTGGAGACTCATAATTGATTATATCACAATATGCCAATGACACCACACTTATTTTAGATGTTTCATCAGAATCTTTAGATGCATATATTTGTATTTTAGAATTGTATGCGAAATGATCTGGTCTCAAGATGAATTAAGAAAAAAAACAAGTAGTATGAATTGGGAAATAGAAATATAGCCAATATACAATGTGTGTTCAGTGGGGACTTGAATTGGGTTCCAGCAGATTGACGCTCTCTGGTATGAAATATACTGAAAAAATAATAAATCCAGCGGCGAACAATGTACACGCAAATTGTTTTGTATATATTATATATCAAATAGGAGCCTGATATATGCCGCATTTGTGCAATCAATGACCAACAGGAAAAAAGCAAGAGGTTTTTTTTCTATTTTATAAGTGTCATTTATTTGTTTAAGTTTTTAAATGTGCACAAATTAAAAAAAGCGAAGGAACCATAATTATAAAAGAAACCATATTCATATCCCCGTTGTTTCATTTAAACAGATAAAGATAAAAGAAGTATGGTTAAGTAAAATCTAGAAAGCGCTTACTTTATTTTCAATAGCCAGTTATAACAAAGACACAATATACTTTATAGTATCATATTATACATGAATTCCGTTCTATGTTGATACGTCTTTCCTGTTTATCACTTTAACATGACTGTTTTAATGGTAATAAATTTGTGTATGAAATACACCGGCATATGCATGTACATATACTTCAATGTTCATCGACTGCTTATCTTATAGTTTTATCACATTCAATTCTACAAATCTACTAAAAGCCTAGCAATTTTCACCCATAGCTCAAATTATACTAAGATTGGTCAACTAGACATGGTTTTCCTGGTATAGATAGTACACTACATTTCATTCATTAACTTAGTAAAATATATGCGTTTCCCTGTTCATTCGTCTGATACGACACATCCGTTTAATACTAAAAACAAATTAAATAATTCACGATAATCAAAATCAAAGAATAAAAATCCTTTAATAAGTGAAAAATAATTCAATATACTTTTTATTGAATATAGTTGTGTCAAAATTACCCACTTGGGACCATTTTACTATCTAATGCGTGAATTAAATGTACTAAGTAGAAACGTTAAAAATGTTTACAAAACAGTTCCTCGTCATATAATATTTATAGCCTCGTTGAATAAATTTTCAACCTAAACTGCATTATTTTGCATATATAAACACATGTGGCGAATATCCAAGAAAGGAAACACGAATGAAAAACAAGACATACATTATTTAGAAATCATTTAGATAATCAGAGAATATTTCAGAATTTGCTGAAATGGGTGTGGCAGATTGCATTTGTGAAGGAAATGTTGACATTGAAGGGAAACACAATATACGAGATATAATGCTGATAAAATGCGCCAGAGTGTTTGCCATTACACTACAATACTAATATCCTGATCGACTTGTACCGTTTTCTATAATATTTTCTTATGAGTCTATTTGTTAGTGTTTCGTTATCAGGTTCGTATCTGTTAATTTTTTATCAACCGCAAAAATAGTACGATATAGTTGATATTAGGGAAGTTCTTACGTCTATAACAGTTAGAGCTAGACCTGATGCACAAACTAATTATGTTAGAAAAACAATGTTTCAGCCAATTGTCTTAAACAGTTACAGACCCCACACAAATACAGACGCTTTCTTTTAACATTATCAATTAAACTGTTGGTAGTGTTTTAACTTAATGTTGTGTGTTGTTTTCGTAAACAAAGGCAGTCAACAAACAGCCCGCATGGCTTTCTTAGCTAACTCCCAGTAATGGAGAGAACATTTTGACCCTGCCTATCTAAATCATGACCCGTCTTTAATTTCTTTGTCCAATTAGCAATCATATGGTTGATTTATGCACTTACTTTTGTTTTTTTTGTTGTTGTGAGTTTCCTTTAGTGACATATTGTCTAGATAAACTCAGGTGGGTTTTAAGTCAGGAATATGACAGTTGTTATCCATTCGTTTGATGAGTTTGAGCTTTTGATTTTGCCATTTGATTAGGGACTTTCCGTTTTAAATTTTCGTCGGACTTCGGTATGTTTGTTATTTTACTTTTTACCCCACTGGCTGATGTGTCTAGTCAGGCTTTTTTAACCATGTTTTGCTCCATGTTGTCTTTAACTCGAAAGAGTTGGCGAGGGTGTGGCCAGTATTTATAGTAATTCCTGTCATTCGTGTATGTTGTATTCAATGATTAGTGGAACTGAATTGATCACGTATTAATTTAGTTTCATACATCAAATGTGTATAATTATATCATATACTTCAGACTATCGTAGTTTCAATCAAATTCATTTTATTTTTATAACCTATGTTACCCCTTAACACAATGTTTTAAGAGTGCAATACAAGGACACATTTTACAGTTTGTGTTATAGTTTTGTCACATATAATCTACATACAAGTATAGCAAATAACTAACCTTAGCTATGATTATACATCATGAATAGTCAGCTAGCCATGGTTTTTTCCAGATCCGATAGTACAATGTATTCCATCAGTGAAATAAGAAAATATTTGTATTTCTTTGTTCATTTGGTTGAAACGACACATCCATGTTATATAAAGTACTTAACTACATCCACTTCAGGTCATATGTACTAATAAATACTTTAGAGAAATGTGATTCGTTCAAACCGGAAAATATGTCCTCGTCATTTAATATTACCAGCCAAATTTCATTGATATTTATATCAGCACAAACAAACACTGCATGTATGCAATACACATTAATTTGTAATTTTACGGAAAACACAATTTAAGATATGTAATACTTACACGTGTGTGTTTTCCATTATATTAAGATATATCTACCTCTGATCGGGATGAAGGATATTTTTATGAACGGTCATGGTAGTATACATACACACGAACCAACGCTGCATATATATCATTTTGTAATTTCAGGGAAAATACAATTAAAGATAGTTAATGCTAACATGTGTGTGTTTTCATTATATAAAACATACATATACCCATGATCAGCATACATAATATTTTTGTAAATGTCAGCAGATTTTTAGTGCTGCATGTGAAACTTCAGATACATGCTTTGCCTAAATAATTGCCAACAAATTTGAATCATTAAAATAAGAATTGCAATGAAATTAAGGTTGTTTTTAATGCCGTTAATTTTATTCTGAACAAGTTTGGTTGACATCTTCTATTTGAATATGATAAAGGGGATATGGGGCGTACGTCAATGCAACAGTAACCCAATAACAACATGTACAAACAAAAACTCAAAGAAATCTAGGGGACAAAGCTAATCTCTTTGCGCCATTCTTTTTTTGAAATTAAGTTTCAATGTCATCGCATTTTACTTCACATTTGTTTCATAAGGGTAGAGCTGATCATCCGTTCTTCTTTTCTTTTTTTCTTTTGTCGTTTTATTTTATTTTCAGGGTAGTGTGTGTCCATTTGTCGTTTGTATCTTAGACATGGTATTGTCTTAGTTTTTTTCCTTACTTTTCATTACTATTTAAAAACTGACCAATCGGATTTTGAAAAAAAAACACTCATTAATACATCAAGCACTTGACAGAAAGAGATGACGAGTTTTAAGCAAGGTCATTAAAAATGTCAGCAACATTACAAAATGATAGTGTTAATGTATTTAGTACGTGTGCAGTTAATGCAGATGCTCTGCATTATCAAATCTCTTAAGCTTGTACAATTCGAATTCAATTTTGATATTCCTTTCTTTTTAAGGTAGATGTAATAGTCCTAATAAAAAGTTGTAAACGATTAAATAGTTTGGATTGAAACTACGAATGGTCTATTTAATCAAGGCTATCAGCATGCAAGATGAACCGTAAGGCCTACATTGACAATGTTTAAGTAGTATTCATCCTATTGCTGTTTTGTTTTGTTTTTTTGCGTGTGCAAACTGCAAACTAATTATATCCCTGCAGATAGGTCGAACATTAATATTAATTATCTAGTCAAGCAAGACCTTTCACGAACATCAAGTGGTTAGGAACCTATTGAAAGGAGAAGGTTCACGAAAGGTTAATATTGGCCCTAAATTTTTGATGTTTTTTAAATCGGGCCAAAAAATTACAAATCTCACATAGAAATACTTGTAATAATACTATTAAGACAAAAACATTTTTTCTGGCACTTCCTTTACAATTTATGAAGCTATGACCCCTGAAATAAACATCATTTGTATTATACTGTCAATTTTGGTACTTTTTTCCATAATTTTAATTGTTTTTGTCATAATTAACCTTGGCCGCCATCCACGATCCAAAAAGTTTTTATATTGATGAATTCTATATCAAAATTGGAATCTTTTGGTTACAACACATTTTGGATCGTAGGTGGCGGCCAAGGTGTTTCTAAAGCTTTTAGGTCTGAAAATTGCACAAAATCATTATATTTTGATAAAATGTCCAAAATGGTCTCACTTTGGAGAATATTATGTACTTTTATGAAAAAAACTAATATATTTAGCATTACGACTTTTGAAATAGACCCATTTACGAACCAAATTGAGACCTTTGTGGTGTTTTATGATAAAGTTGATATTTTAGGCCATTATGTGCCATAAGTGAACCTTGTCCTTTGACAGATAGGTACAGAGGCGCAATTCATTTCAGGTAATTTTCCTCAATTCTTCAACTCATATCGTAAACTTGGATATGTATGATTACTCGTTTCGAAGCTGAGATATTTTCACATAAGTGGTTAAATTTTCGGGGTAGTACGAAGTGAGATTCGTTTTTCCATAATTAAGCACAACCCGAAAGGCCTTCAGCGGCTTCTCGCGGTAAAAAATCCCTTTTTTCAAACAAAAAGTTCTTTGAAAATTTAGTTCTATGCATACATTTAATAACTTCATAGTTTTGTTCACCTTTTTTCTATGGGCCAAATCAGCATAAATGGTTAAACTCAGTCATTTGTAAACAATTGAAACATGTCAAATATCACTACACAGAGATTTTTTGTGTTCCTCAATTTGAGGCGCATTAGGGAGATGAGTTCCAAATCAGTCGATCATTTAATAAAACACACGCTAGTGCCGAGTTAAGTTTGGTTTAAAATAACAGATATGTATGAAAATTGTCCAGTGTACTGTTGTGTTTGCCAGTTTATTTCCGACGTATAAGTTTGACTGTCCCTTTGGTACCTTTCGCCTCTCTTTTTCAAGACATGGATACCCCAAAGCTAATGATATTTCAACTCTGGTACGGCATTTTTACCTATTTAGATAGAAGACTTAGGTATATTTTGCTGTCGATATATTTTATGCTCCTGGTCTAAAATGTCCAAATAAATGTCAGATCTGTATATTACGTATTAATGATGGGGGGTCTCAATTGAAATCCAAAAATTTCACAAAATGTAGTATATATCATGTTTTTTCAAAAATATAATAAAAACTATAGGTCACCGGGCTTTTTTTGCACGCTATAGGTTGTGCAAAAATGTTAGATTTTATATATATTATGCATGAAAAACCCGATTTTGTGGTATAAATAGAAAATAATACCATAAAATTTTAAGATAAAATATGAGAAGATAGCTCTAATAATATGCTTTCAGATAAGAAAAGGAAAAATGGGGTCACCGGACTCGTTTTCTTGCTACATAATAAAATAAAATTTATAAATAAAGGCAACAGTAGTATACCACTGTTCAAAAGTCATAAATCGATTGAAAGAAAACAAATCTGGCTTACAAACTAAAACCGAGGAAAACACATCAACTATAAGATATAACAAATTCTATTATAAAAGTTACCTTATTTGAGTTATCTCCAGTTATACGGCAAATTTGAAAAAAATTGAATCAAACAAAAATATTCTGTTTTTTGTAAAATACATCCGTAAAATATGATAAAGCACATTAAGACTTGTTGCCTGATACGATATTTGTGTTTTTTCAAGTAACGAAAGAGAGAGAGTAAGTGAGAGAGTACCTGCTAATTGTGTGGCCATCTCGCGTTCGGAAATTCTGACTGGGTCTGAATTTGCATTATAACTAAAAAAGTACATTCTTTTCTAGTCAATGCAATATCATATATTGTTTCCTCCTGCCTTGGAACGAATTTACTATATTCTTCCAACAGAAATGCAAGGTTACAGTAGTTAACCAATTTTTAAATCTCGTTAATTGAAAAAGACGAGACATACCAAACTACCAATTACAATATAACCACATCGCGTGAACTAAAAATAAACAAAACAGGAAGCAACGGCAGTTTAAATGTCTCAAACCATGCATCAATCAGCCGCCATCTGAAACCACCATCAGTCAAAATGTCAGAATCATGAAAAAGTCACAGTCGTTTAAAATACATGACAACTATTGTTTCCAAAGATCTAAGACTGCGAAAAAATGTCGAGAAACAGATATATTTTATCGGTAAACACAAGCTTGATGACGATGGTAAATCTTATAAAGTGTCGAAATCACTCGTTCTTACTCATATTTGTTTAGAGCAGTTTTGTAGAAGGAACATACCCCTGCAACTTAAGTCAGTAAACTGTGAACATGCATGAGCGTAAGGTGTCATTGAAATACATGTATGTAAACTCACGAAGGGCAGACGGTATGTTCTTGCGGAAAAAGTTGAAAAATAAAGATTGGCAATTCAAATGATTTCGTTTGTCATATACTCTTGTTTGTAGACATTCAATTGTGTCAATGTCGTAAAAGATCAAGATGTGAACATGGTGAAGCAAACATGGTACTTTGACCTATGCCTATAATGGTTTACTTTTATAAATTGTGACTTGGATGGAGAGTTGTCTCATTGGCACTCATATCACATCTTCTTATATCTATATATGGTAGTAACGTTAGTATTTATAATTTCATGATCACTCGGATGTATGAGATTCGCCCATTCATTGCAATTTGGATTATTGAGAAACAGGAGATCATCATAATATATGAAAGATAACGTAAAGAACTGTGTTAGACATGTTGATGTCTTTTTTTTTTCTTTGAGTAGTTTTGATTAATTTTTCTTCATATGAGTACAAAACGAAAACCGGAAGTAGAAGCGTACAATTCATCCCTATTCTGTTGGAATATCAATGTAAATCTGAAAGATTATTAGCACTAAATTCTTCCTAACTCATACTCATATCCGGATAGTTCACAAGGTAATAATCTAAAACAAGACATATAACCCTACTCGGAAACATTCTATTGCAGACTAGACGTTCCTTTTTTTTCTTAAATAATGCTTGCTTTGGGGAGAAACAACCAATATCAATTGTCAAAGGGGTGCAACATCAAACCTTCATCAGTACACAAGCATACAACCTTGAGACCACCAATGTGTTTTGTTATCATGCATAAAGAAGTATACCTCTGCTCCAAACCAGTTAAAACCTCCAGAATGAAATTTGTACGTTGATCCACCAAAGTGAACAATAGTCTATGGACATGCTACAAAAACCAAGATATCAAATATTATTGGTTTTTGACAATGATTTTGTCTTTATTTACAAACAATATGTAAGGAACTTTACTATGTGTTAGTTTTTTTGTTGTTTTTTTTCTGAGAAACATGAAAAGATAAAAGATATACTTTTTGCAACTTCGTTTTGTAGATTTTGACTTGAAATTTCAATATATGTTGTGTCGCAATGCCAATGAAAACCAGGCATAACTTAGAAATCCTGTTAAACAAGATATTTTTTTTTAACTTCATTTTGCATTGTTTACT